ATCATAGGAGGGGTGGAGGAGTTGGACCAAATCCCCAACTATGATGTGCCGTGGCGGTCCTACATCTACGCCGTAATAATGAAAATAACCGAACCTTGATGGCGCATTTTACGATTTGATCGATATTTGGGAAATCTTCTTTCGAAATGGTTAGATTCTGTAAAAGCAAAGAAGTGCAAAGAATATTCAAATGTCTAAGAATAAAAAGACCGTATGGACCCACATCATGCCACATATCGTAATAGAAACCCTCTTCAATGGGTGGCCCATAACAAAGGTGTCCACCGCAGTAGCGCTCCATCGCTTCTCCGAGGACATGGGCTGAGCTATGCCAGAACACCTGGAGATAGCGCTGTGAACGAGTTCAAACTTATCACAGGAGCAACTACGCACCTGTTTCGCTTCGTCGTCATCGAACTTCAGCAGTTGTAAGGTAGCATCACCCTCGAACGGTCGATCAAGATCCCACACCTAACAGTTTCAAAGATATTACCAGACAGGAAGATAAAAAGAAAAGTCAATTTGGACTTATTCACCTCTCCGTTGACTTTAGCAATCACAGTATTCTCGGCTAAACCCTTAGAGATTTTCTCAGCAACTTGCAGAGGTGTCGTTCGCCAAGCTTCAGCGTCGAACTGCTTGCCATCAGGGAGAGTAATTTTGATAGGTGTTGGATCCTGAATAAGTGACTTAAGCAAAGGTAAAATAAATTAATAATGAGGCCTCTTTTGGTAAAGAGCTTCATGCTCAGAGAAGAAAAGGTAAAATAAGTCAATAAAGGTCTCTTGAAATGGTAATGGCGAAGTCGGTGCAAACGAATCGCATTGAAACCATTCTGCTGCTTGTAATTTGATCGCCAATGTAAGTTAAGCATGAAATGCACACCTCGAAACGGATAAACTTGTGGGTAGAGGCATTTGAAAGACTCATTGTACAGAAATCCCGCTATGGAAGTCCCCGCTATGGAAGTGAGACTTCTGTCAAGAGGGGAAGAGCTCCGTGGTTGGTGAGCCAGTTCGAAAGACGGTACTTCTACTCGGACGACTTCAGCCCTTAGGCAGAAGAAGGTCTTTGGATGGTCTCCCTTATCAAGGCTAGTTAAATATGAGCAAATGCTGAGGGAAGTATTAACGCACTCTAACGATGTATGTTTCGTACGCTCTCCTCTCCTTCCTAGGCTCAGCATGTGAAAATGAGTGCGAAAGAATTTTTTGTAAGATAATGCTGTTTAAACGCCGCAGTACGGTTCCGAATGTTATCACTATAGAATGCTGATGTTTGTGGGCAATAGTCTGCCCAGGTGAGAAATCAACGCCACGCTTTTCGTGTGAGTGCTCTATCGTGCCCTGCGGCTCATGCCGATATTAACGATGAGCAGCGGACCGTCAACACGTTAAACGTGTTAGTAAGGTTACGGCATAGCCGTTAAGCTGAGAAGGGTAAAAGCGGCCCTGGTGGCGTAACGGATAGCGCACTCGCCCGGAAAGCGTGAGGTGCGGGTTCGACTCCCGCCTGGGGCACGACTTTTGCCCACAACTCAGCATTCTTGTGATAATAGTGAGAATGTTTCGTTTTACAGATTTGCCACATAGATCTCTCATGACGTGACCACTTTTATTTGGTCGACATTTCCATCATATCGTCTTCATTAAAGAACAACAGATTTTCGTATTTTTCATTTATTACCCAGCTGACCAGATGCTTTATCGAATAAGACCAAACCATCTTCAATTCCCACTAAGACAACCCTGTGTAACAAACAGGGTACAGCATGGCTGGGCGAAACACAGGAGGGGTCGTCATTGGCCGCTCGTTGTTCGGAGAGAAGGGGTCGTATGTGCCTTCAAGAGAAATTTGCCGCCTTGTGAGGGAAATTCTCCCAGCTGTTGACTTTTCGCGGCTTTTCCCGTGTCATATGTATCAACTCCCCCTCAACGGAAAAGTTTTGGGTGGAAAACTAGTGAGAAGCTGGGAACTTGTAGGAAAGTGGTAGGAGGTGTGGGGAGGCAGGGAGGGGGTCGTACCGAGACCCTCTTTTTTAGGTGGGGGGGGGCATACCGAGACCCTCCTTCGAGGGGGGGGTCGTACTGACGCCACCATTTCACAAATCACGATTCTGCGCCCTGATGACAAATGGTAATGAAAAATCTCCCTAGGCGTTAAGAGGACGTAGCAGTGTTCACTTACTCACCTTCTGAGCGAGATCAGCCTTGTATTCTGCCATTAGCCTGTCCCACATGTCAATGCGTTTTTGGATGAACTCTGGCCATGGCTTCAACTCTGTCGGTGCCATGGATATCTTAGCCTTGAAAGATCAGAGTGAGCAACAGAAAGTAGCGCGCTACAAAACATATTAGTATATCAAGTAATCCTCACCTCCTTTTGGAGCGGAACATTTTCTTTAAGATCGTCAGCAACCATTTTAGACGGTGAATTCACTGATGAGGAGTAAAATCTGCCTTTCGACTGATGAACAGACGCTAGACGTCGTCCGAATAGTACGGATACAGCACGAACTGAATTCGTTGTGGGAGCCAAGGAGAGGCTAACTCTGAATGAACCAATAGTGAGCACAACCAGGATTAGTGAATGAGTTTTCCTTGCAATATTTCAACGGTTACTAAGCAAACGAGACCTGGCACTAGAGTTAATAAGTCAGGGAAACAATAAACATCACGGCTAACTACTAAAGGGTAAAATATATGCGAATTACTAGTGATGATTAGGTCAAGCTGATTCTATAACTATGAGAGAAGCATGGTCTAACAAAGATGGGATACGATTCTATCAAGTGCGTTCATACTTCGCGAACACGACCAATCGCTCGGATGGCGAATA